TAGGTTTCTTTATACCCGCATCACCACAGACACATGAGTAATGCATTGTGCCATGAATTTGCAGGGACCACAATTAGATGATGGAACTTTCTCAGCTCATATATATAGAGAGAGTGAGAGAGAGTCTTGCTCTGTCGCCAAGGCTGGAGTGCAGTGGTGCAATCACAGCAGCTCCCTGCAGCCTCAACCTCCCGGGCTCAAGCATTCCCCTGCCTCAGCCTCCCGAGTAGGTGGGACTACAGGCATGCACCACCATGCCTAGCTAATTTTTGTATTTTTTGTGTAGAGACGGGGTTTCGTTGTGTTGCTCAGGCTGGTTTCAAACTCCTAGGCTAAAGTGATCTGCCCGCCTTGGCCTCCCAAATTGCTGGGATTACACACATGGGTTACCACACCTGGCCTCCATTATAATCTTAACTGTCATAAATGTGGTCTGTCGTTGACCACAGCGTCCTTACGTGGTGATTTTAATGTGTGAAAGTTGAATCAATTACGCATTAATGTATTCAGCAACCACTTATTAACCAATAAGCAAGAAAGAGTCAGGTAATACGTTCACCACTAAAACAGGACTTTTTAAAAATTATATTGAGTGAAAAGAGCAAATTGCAAGAAAGATACACGTAAATGTGGTGCCATTATTCTAAATTCTTAATTATTGGAGTGAAGTGTTTTACTTGTGTCTGTAATGTTCCATTTTGTTACACTGAGGCAGATAGAGTAAAAAGTATTAATATTTGTTGTATTAATATTTGTTAAGTATTGGTGGTACATATTTGGGTGTCTGTTATACTTTTTTCTACACCTTTGTACATTTGAAATACTTCATAATTAAACATTTTAAATTTTGTCTTTTTTTTTTTTTTTTAGACAGAGTCTTACCCTGTTGTCCTGGCTGGAGTGCAGTGGCATGATCTTGGCTCATTGCAACCGCCACCTCCCGAGCTCGAGCAATCCTCCTGAGTAGCTGGGACTACAGGCGCACACTACCACACCCAACTCATTTTTGGATTTTTTGTAGAGATGGGGTTTAGCCTTGTTGCCCAGGCTGGTCTCGAACTCCTGGGCTCAAGCAATCTGCCTGCCCTGCCTTCCCAACGTGCTGGGATTACAGGAATGAGCCACTGCACCTGGCCAGCATTTTTAATTTTTAATGAAACAGGATAAGGATGTGATGGGAAATGACCAGGGACTTCTTCACGTTGATTGGTGGGGGAGAGACTCTCTCTGGGCAGGTGACATATGCTGAGACCTGGATAACAGGAAGGAGTCACTCATGCAGACATGCAGGGAAAGAATACTCTAGGCAGGCCGGGCGCGGTGGCTCACGCCTGTAATCCTAGCACTTTGGAAGCCGAGGCAGGCAGATCAAAAGGTCAGGAGATCGAGACCATCCTAGCTAACACAGGGCAACTCCGTCTCTACTAAAAATACAAAAAAAAAAATAGTTGGGTGTGGTGGCGGGCACCAGTAGTCATAGCTACTCAGGAGGCTGAGGCAGAAGAATGGTGTGAACCCAGGAGGCGGGGCTTGCAGTGAGCGGAGATCGTACCACTGCACTCCAGCCTGGGTGACAGAGCGAGACTCCACCTCAAAAAAAAAAAAAAAAAAAAAAAAAAGAATACTCCAGGCAAACAGCTGTTGCTGCAGTCCTGAGGCAGGAGCAAACCTGACGTGGTCAAGGTAAGGCCATTTCATCTGGCAGGAAAACCACAGAACTGTTCTAGTTACCTCAGCAGCTGTGGAGGTGACTACCCCAGCATTACTGGAAAATGGTCATTTCATGTCTGAATACTTAAGTTGAGGGAAGCACACCATTTTTAGAGCTACCTAATGCTTCCATGGAGTTTCTCATGTAGGGTTTACAGACTGATGGGGTCCTGTCAAAAGGCTACAGAAGCTGGCTTGAAGGGTCTTAATGGCCAAGTCCAGACACTTTGAGCATCAAAAAGCAACAAAGCAATAGATTGTGATACACAATTTTTAAGAATCATGATTTTCTAGTCAGAGAAATAGAGAAAGGAAAAAAGCTCTTGTTTTTAGAAGAATGCCTGCTGAGGTAGAAAGAATGATAGAATTAGAAAATGACTGTTTTGCAGATTCTAGCATAATCATTGATTCAGGCAAGAACAATCAATAGATCCTGAACTCTTTGGATGAAAGTTGTTGGAGAATAGGATATTCAAAAAATTCCATGACATGAAAAACAGAAGGTTGGAGAGATGCTGTTATGGTGAAGTATTTAGGAATGGAGTGATATTTTGTCTGCAGCTAACTCTCATCAAAGGGTTCATTTTTAAAAAGCAGTGGGGTGTGTGTGTGTGTGTGTGTGTGTGTGTGCGTGTATGTATATAGAGAGAAAGCAAATGTGGCAAGAAGTTAACAGTGAACCTAGAGGGTGAACTGTGTCTGTGCATTGGAGCTTTTTGTGTGTGTGCACTTATAAATGTTGAAAATTAATGAGCTGTGATGCCATCTCCAAAGGAAAAAAATAAGTAAAAATAAATGTTGAAAATTAAAAGTTAGGGGGAATGCTTATTTCTATTTTATTTCTATTTCTATTTTAAACCCAAATCCAGGCCAGGCATGGTGGCTCACTTTGGGAGGCCAAGGCGGGCGGATCACGAAGTCCGGAGATCGAGACCATCCTGGCTAATACGATGAAACCCATCTCCACTAAAAATATAAAAATAAAAATAATAATAATAATAAACCCAAATCCAACTTACTAAAGTACATCTTTTTTTTTTTTTTTTTTTTTTTTGAGATGGAGTTTCACTCTTGTTGCCCAGGCTAGAGTGCAATGGTGCGATCTTGGATCACTGCAACCTCTGCCTCCTGGGTTCAAGTGATTCTCCTGCCTCAGCCTCCCAAGTAGCTGGAATTACAGCATGTGCCACAACACCTGGCTAGTCAGGCTGGTCTCGAACTCCTGACCTCAGGTGATCTGCCCATGTCGGCCTCCCAAAGTGCTGGGATTATAGGTGTGAGCTACCGTGTCCAGCTATCTTTTTTTTTCTTTTTTTTAGTCAGATTCTCGCTCTGTTGCTCAGGCTGGAGTGCAGTGGTATGACCTTGGCCCACTGCAACCTCTGCCTAAAGCAGTTCTCCTGCCTCAGCCTCCCGAGTAGCTGGATTACAGGTGTGTGCCACAACGCCCAGCTAATTTTTGTATTTTTAGTAGAGACGGAATTTTACCATGTTGGACAGACTGGTCTCGAACTCCTGACCTCAAGTGATCCCTGCCTCGGCCTCCAGAAGTGTTGGGATTACAGGCATGAGCCACCACGCCTGGCCTATTACATCTATTGTGTATGTACTATGATATGCCAGACGTTGTGCAGAACACATGGCATGCATTAAACTTCCTAACAGTTCTTGAGTTAGTACTCATTTCTCCTTTTAAAGATGAAAAGACAGATGCTTAAGAAGATATCACCAAAGCAACAGAAAAAACATTTCGTCTTAAGAATGAAAATGAATTTGTTACACAGGCTAGAAAGAATATTCATTGATGAGAAAGCACAATAGAAGGATTTATGATAGTGTTACTAGGCATGCATGTTTTTCTGACCTTGAACTTGTCCTACATACAGCCCACCCTGGAGAGGCAGTCTAGTATGGTGGTGTAGAGCACCGTGTGTGAAGCCTGAAGCCAGAATACCTAGGATCAAATCCCAATTCTACCATGGCAAGCTGCTACTGCCTTAGAAGCACTTCTCCGGGATTCTATACTGGGAACCTCTGTTGTATTTGTTTCCTATTGCTGCTATAACAAATTACTGCAAACTTAGTTGTTTAAATAACATAAGTTTATTATCTTACAGTTCTGGAGGTCTGAAGTCCAAAATGGATGTCACTGGGCTTAATTAAAATTAAGATGTCAACAGGACTGCATTTCCATTTGGAGGCTTAGAGGAAAATCTTTTCTTGCTTTTTAGTTTCTAGAGGCCACCCTCAGCCTCTGTCTTCAAAACCAGCAACATTGTATCTCTCTGTGTCTTTGCCTTCTATGGGAACCTCTTCCTCTGACTCTTCTGCCTCCCTCTTCCACTTTTAAAGACACTTGTTACCATATTGGGCCAGGGGGATAATAGATAATCTAGGATAATCTCCCTATTTTAAGGTTAGCCTTAAATTAGGCTGATTAGCAACCTTAATTCCATGTGCAACTTCAGTTTTCCTTTGTAACCATATTCACAGGTTCCAGGGATTAAGGCATGAATTTTTTTGGGAAACCTTTCCCCGCCCCCCCCAAATATCTATGTTTAAATTCTAAAGTTGTGTAAGGCAGCTGGGGCCAGGAGAAGATTATTCCAAAGTGGAGATCCTTGCCAATGCCGAGGATGACTTGAGTAGAACCACTAATTGGGTTTGAGCTAAAAAGAACTGCTGGGTGGTGTTTGCACATGCTTTTTATTCTCTTACTAGCATAAAATATATATAGTAAATTCAGCATTTTTTTTTTTCTTTTTCTTTTTTGAGACAGGGTCTCCATCCCCCAGGCTAGAGGACAGTGACATGATCATGGATCACTGTAGTCTCAACTTCCTGGTCTCAAGCAATCCTCCTACCTCAGCCTCCTGAGTAGCTAGGACTACAGGCATAGGCCACCATGCCCTGCTAATTTATTTTTTGAAGAGACAGGGGTCTTACCTTGTTGTTCAGGCTGGTGTCTAATGCCTGGCCTCAAGCAGTCCTCCTGCCTTCGCCTCCCAAAGTGCTGAAATTACAGGTGTGAGCCACCACTCCTGGCAGTAAATTCAGTATAAAAGAGTGATTGAATTAGAAGGCAACTGAGTTTTAGTTACATCATAGTAAAGAAACGATTATAGTATTAGAATACATTTCTATTGATTGATTGATTCATGCCAGCCCTCAGAGGAAAATGTTCTTGATTTATTTGCAATTTTAGAGAAACTTCAGGTTAAAATTTTTTATGTATCTCCATTGTTAAGCATTAATTTTTATTTTTATTTATTTATTTATTTATTTTACAGAGTTTTACTACCCTTGGATGCTGCTGTTGATATGGAAAAGATTGAGGAACAGTTTGCTAATCTGCACATTGTTAAATCTTCCTCAGGAACCAAAGAGCCCACTTACCTTCTTGGTATAGACACATCAAAGACTGTCCAAGCAGGAACAGAAACTGTGGCTGCTGTTTTATGTTCTAATGGATCAATCAGAATATATGATAAAGAAAGGTTAAATGTACTACGAGAATTTAGTGGATATCCTGGACTTCTTAATGGAGTCAGATTTGCAAATTCCTGTGATAGTGTATATTCAGCATGTACTGATGGCACTGTGAAATGTTGGGATGCTCGAGTAGCCAGAGAAAAACCTGTTCAGCTCTTCAAGGGTTACCCTTCCAATATTTTTATCAGTTTTGATATTAATTGTAATGATCATATTATTTGTGCTGGTACAGAAAAAGTTGATGATGATGCATTGTTGGTGTTTTGGGATGCAAGGATGAATTCTCAGGATTTATCTACAACTAAAGACCCACTTGGTGCATATTCAGAGACACATAGTGATGATGTCACTCAAGTACGTTTCCATCCCAGCGATCCCAACATGGTAGTCTCAGGTTCATCTGATGGCCTGGTAAATGTATTTGATATTAATGTTGATAATGAGGAGGATGCACTGGTTACAACCTGTAACTCAATTTCATCAGTAAGCTGTATTGGTTGGTCTGGGAAAGGTTATAAACAGATTTACTGCATGACACATGATGAAGGATTTTATTGGTGGGATCTTAATCATCTGGATACTGATGAACCAGTTACACGTTTGAACATCCAGGATGTCAGAGAGGCAGTTAACATGAAAGAAGATTCTTTGGACTATTTGATTGGTGGCCTGTACCATGAAAAGACAGACACATTGCATGTTATTGGAGGAACAAACACAGGAAGGATTCACTTGATGAACTGCAGCACGTCAGGACTGACTCATGTGACTAGCCTTCAGGGTGGGCATGCTGCTACAGTCCGTTCTTTCTGTTGGAATGTGCAAGATGATTCTTTGTTGACTGGAGGAGAAGATGCACAGTTGTTACTTTGGAAACCTGGAGCTATAGAGAAGACCTTTACTAAGAAAGAGAGCATGAAAATAGCATCTTCTGTGCACCAACGAGTACGAGTTCATAGTAATGATTCTTATAAAAGAAGGAAAAAGCAGTGATAATGCATTTGGCACTTTGGTAGGTTTTATAGTTTCAAGTAGTCCTTTTTGTTTACTACCCATGGTAGACATGTTTAAAGCTTTATGTAAAAACAAGCAGTCAGCAAACAGTCCAGGAAAAATACGGGGAGAATGGTTTAATTCCGGTCTTCACATATTCTAAAAAATTTTAAAGCCTCTAAGTATAAAATCAGTGAGTTGAAAGTAAAATTTCTCATTTAAAGAACCCATCTGTTAATGTAGTAAATGTTGGGTTTAAAGAAATAGCTCTGATAAGGAATTTTTAGAAGGAGATACCTGGTAAAACTTAGTAAAACAGGTGGTTGGCTGCATTTTTTAAGCCCAGTTTTTTACATTTTAAATTGTCGTTATTGTGTATAAAACCAGATCAGACTATATTCTTCATTTGAGGAGCATCTCTATATTTAATACACCTAATGTATTATGTTGGAGTATTTAAATGTAAGTATTTTAATGAGTAAATAGAATTAAACTTTTTTAGAAATAAAATGATAGCCATGTATGTAAAATGAGAAAAATATGTTTAGTAAATATTTGCATCTTTAATATTGTTAGTAGTAAACAGGTGTTTTGCTGATTGAAAGGAAGTTATCTTGGTAGATTGAGACTCAAAGTGAAATACAAAACTGAAAATGTTTATAATAGGACTCAACTTGGAGAAATTCCTATTCTTCCTGTTGTCCAAACCATAAATTTGAGGATAACCTGGACTTTTCTCTTCCCTCTTTTCCTAACCAGTTTTTCACCAAGTCCTGCCATTTCACCTCCTAATGTTTGTCAGCTATCCTTTTGCCTTTACCTCACCACTATTACCTTAGAGAAGACTCATTATTTCTCACCTGGATTACCAGCTTGATCCCTAATCTGCTTTAGTTCATCCTTCTTGCTACTTCTAGGCTAAACATCAAAAACAGATCTGGTAGGGGTGGGGAAATGAGGGGGAAGAAACAAAAACATCTGATGATGCCGCATGCTGCTTAAAATCTTCAGTACATTGATGTTTTGATGTAGCACTACCTAAGCGTTAAAAAATTGTGTTTTTCAGAATCTTTAAAATACAAGACAGTGCTACGTAGTGAATGAAAGAATTAGTTTGAAAGATATCTGGAGAAATCGCATTCATAAAACAATTCGAAGTGAAGCAGTATCAAAACAGTAGGACTTTTTAAAATTAAAAATATTTAAAATTCAAAAGTAATTAATAGTGTTGGAAGATGCGGGTGAGAAAATATTCCTGAAAGGGGAACTGAAAGAGACAAAGAGAAAAGATGAAAGCCACAGAAGATAAATATAGGGGTCTAAAACCAGACTAACAGTTTTAGAAAGTGAAAAAAGTTAAAATAGAAATGGAGGCAGTGGGTTATTAGAAATAACATAAATGACTGGTATGGTTTGTCTGTGTCCTCACCTAAATTTGTTTTTGTTTTTGTTTTGAGATGGAGTCTCTCTGTCGCCAGGCTGGACTGCAGTGGCACAATCTCGGCTCACTGCAACCTCTGCCTCCCGCATTCAGGTGATTCTCCTGCCTCAGCGTCCCGAGTAGCTGGGACTACAGGCGTGTGCCACCACACCCAGCTAATTTTTGTATTTTGAGTAGAGACGGGTTTTCACCATGTTGGCCAGGCTAGCCTCGATCTCTTGACCTTGTGATCCGCCCGCCTTAGTCTCCCAAAGTGCTGAGATTACAGGCATGAGCCACCGCCCCCGGCCATCCTCACCCAAATCTCATTTCGAATTGTAATCCCCATAATCCCCATGTGTCTAGGGAGAGACCTGGTGGGAGGTGATTGGATCCTGGGGTTGGTTTCCCCTATGCTGTTCTTGTGATAGTGGGTGAGTTCTCACAAGATCTGATGGTTTTATAAAGGGCTCTGCCCCCTTAACTCCTCACTGTTTGTCCTGAAGCCTTGTGAAGATGGTGCTTTGCTTCCCCTTTGCCTTCTTCCATGATTGTAAGTTTCCTGAGGCCTCCCCGGCCATGCTGAACTCTTTAGTCAATTAAACCTCTTTCCTTTATAAATTACCCAGTCTTGGGCAGTTCTTTATAGAGTGTGAAAATGGACTAATACAGTGGCTATTCCAGAACTTCAGTCTTTAGATTAAAAGGCATAGCAGAGTGTCAAGTGTAATGAATGAAAAAGATCCACATCAAGGCATAGCACTGTGAAGTTTCAGAACCCCCAGAGTAAATAGAAGATCCTGCAAATGTCCAGAAAAAAAATCACTTAGGAACGGATTTACATTTGTGTTAGACTTCTCATTAGCAAATCTGGATGACAAAAGATGGTGGATCAATGCCTTCAGAGTTCTGAGGACAGATTCCTACCTATTGAATTTCCAGCTCTCCAAACTCATGCAGTAAATAGATGATAAATTTTTTGAGATATCCCTTGTCAAATAAATATTTCCTAGTTTTCTGAACCTCAGAAACCAAATTGATATAGCTAACAAAGTATCCATTTGTAACCAAACTCTCATTGACCAAACCCAGGAAACAGTAATTCTATGACCAATCAGGCTGTCTTCACGCATGAAGTTAAAAACATTGCAGGCACAAAATCTCAAACTTTACTCTCCATGCCATTTTTTTCAAAGGCTGCTGAAGGATATACTCCACAGAAATTAAGGAAGTAAATCAAGGAAGAGCAGAGATAGCAAAAATCAGGGAACTAACCCAGCGTTGTGGCAAGATAACAGCTTTGCAGCGCTAGAGTATTCAGTCCAGATTGGAGCAGGACAGAGGATGTCAGGAGGGAGCTGTCCAGGGAGAAAAATCAACTTACAGGTTACCCAGTGCATTTGACCATGTGGAGAACAGTGTAAATAGTATAAGTGGATTTAACTCACCAATTAAAAGAGACCCTCAGAAAGATAGGTTGGTACAAAAGTAATTGCACCAACCCATAGACTGCTAACCCATAGAATATTAACCCATAGAATACCCATAGAATGAGAGAAAATGTTGGCAAATCATAGATAAGGAACTATGGAGAAATCTTAAAACTCAATATTGAAAAGACAACCCAATTTTAAAATTGATCAAAGGATCTGAATAGACATTTCTCCAAAGAAGGTATACAAATGGCCAGTATGCGCATGCAAAGATACTCAATATCATTGGCAGAGAAATGCAAAGATACTCAATATCATTAGCAGAGAAATGCAAACCGAAACACTTTACACCCATTAGGTGGCTATAATAGTAATAAAAATTGTGTCTTCTAAAGATGTGGAGAAGTTAGAACGTTTATACACTGCTGGTGTACAATGGTGGAGCTGAAAATAGTCTAGAAGTTCCTCAAGCAATTGTACGATTGCCATTTGACCTGGCAATTCCATTCCTGGGTATATGCCCAGAAGAATTGAAAACATATGTCCACACAATAACTTGGACATGAGTGTTCATAGTAACATTCATACTAGCCAAAAGGTGGAAACAATCCAAGTGTTCATCAGTAGATGAATGGATAAACAATGTGGGCAGTGCGCACGGCTTTCGGGCAGGCAGGCGCGCTCTGGCGAGGTGGGAGCAATGTGGGCTGGGAACGCCTGGCGCACGGAGCTCTCCGGAGTGCCCTGCGGGGCGGCGCGCAGTCAGCGCTGGCCCAGCTGCGCGGCATTCTGGAGGGGGAGCTGGAAGGGATCTGCGGAGCTGGCACCTGGAAGAGTGAGCGGGTCATCACGTCCCGTCAGGGGCCGCACATCCGCGTGGACGGCGTCTCCGGAGGAATCCTCAACTTCTGTGCCAACAACTACCTGGGCCTGAGCAGCCACCCCGAGGTGATTCAGGCAGGTCTGAAGGCTCTTTGGAGCTGGCCTTAGCTCTGTCTGCTTCGTCCGTGGAACCCAAAGCATCCACAAGAATGTAGAAGCAAAAATAACCCGCTTCCACCAGCGGGAGGATGCCATCCTCTATTCCAGTTGTGACGCCAATGCCGGCCTCTGAGGCCCTCCTGACCTCTAAGGACGCAGTGCTTTCGGACGAGATGAACTATGCCGCCATCATCCACGGCATCTGCCTGTGCAAGGCCCACAAGTAACCGCTATCGCCACCTGGACGTGGCCGACCTAGAAGCTGCAGGAGGCCCAGAAGCATCGGCTGCGCCTGGTGGCCACCGATGGGGCCTTCTTCATGGATGGCGACAGCATACCTCCACAGGAGATCTGCCGCCTCGCCTCTAGACATGGCGCCCTGGTCTTTGTGGATGAATGCCGTGCCACTGGCTTCCTGAAGGGACCCACAAGAGGGGGCACAGATGAGCTGTTGGACGTGATGGGCCAGGTCACCATCATCAACTCCTCCCAGGGGAAGGCCCTGGGTAGAGCAACAGGGGGCTACACGACAGGGCATGGGCCCCTGGTGTCCCTGCTGCCACCCAGCCCTACCTCTTCTCTAACAGTCTGCCACCTGCTGTTGTTGGCTGCCTTTCCAAGGCCCTAAATCTGCTCCTGGAGAGCAACACCATCATCCACTCTACAGCTGCCAAGACCCATTGGTCTGTAGTAAGATGGAAGCTGCTGGATTCACTGTCTCGGGAGCCAGTCACCCTATCCGCCCTGTGATGCTGGGTGATGCCCAGCTGACCTCCTGCATGGCGGATGACATGCTGAAGAGAGGCATCTTTGTCATTGGGTTCAGCTACCCCGTGGTCTCCAAGGGCAAGGCCCGGATCTGGGTACAGATCTCAGCAGTGCACAATAAGGAAGACATTGACTGCCACGTGGAGGCCTTCGTGGAAGTGGGGCAGCTGCATGGGGCACTGCCCTGAGCTCTGAGTAGGGACGAGCAGAGCCAAGGTCCACCTACTGCCACAGAATCAAAGGAGGTTTTCGATCAGCCCAGACCAGAGGCTCTGAGCCCTGAACCAAAGTCCCAGAGCTGGGCTGGGATGTGGCATGTGCTGAGGGCTGTGAGAATGTGAAACAACAGTATGAAAATTGGCTGTGAAAAAAACAAAACAACAAAACAAACAATGTGTGGTATATCCATTCAGTGGA